CAGCTCTCGCCTCCTCTCTGGAAGAGCAGGCCACCTGCCAACTATCGTATCTATTACCGAAAACGTGATTAGCACCTTGCGAACACGTTACAGGACCTAAGTTCGATGCAGCTTGCTGTAAATGGTACATTTATTTCTTATCTTCTGTTTTTTCTTGTATTTAGAAATTTAAAAATATTAGTTTATATTTATCGTACATTTGTTACATCTTGATTCTCCTTGCATATTTCCTCCATGTGGAAGTTATTCCTGCCTCAATGGGCTAGTACTCTCCAAGTCCGCGCCACACCTCCTCTCCTCGAATCAACCCGCCGCCAACCTCCGACGGTGTTGCCCGCCAATATATGCAACTAGCCGCTGAAGTTAATTACTAGTGCTCGTGCTCATAATTGTATTTTTATGCCCCCCTTGCACTGTGAACACCGACGCACATCAGCACGACCAGGCATAATCCGAACCAAGCCATCGCGCCCCCAGGGGACTCACATGAATGGATAGAGCTTGATTGGCCCACCTGTGTGTGCATCGATCAAGCCATAAACGGATATCGAGTGATATGACATGAACTTGTTTAATCCCGAAGTCTTCGGGCCGTATACCGCCGTGCACCTGGTGCTAAGTTTTCCCGAGTTGCATGATCTATATACTCGAACAATCTCAGTTGTTGCAACCTACATTCAGTGACATAGGGATGCATTGATGCCCGGCGGTGCGTGAGCAGCTTAGCGATCATGAATTCTTTAATGAGTGACTCGGTCCAGCGCCGTAGGTGTGCGCCCAATCCTTAGGGCCCATTTCTATGGCATCGTGTGCGGCTCAGGCCCAGTAGCAGTGGTTAATGGTACTGCTCGGCATACCGGTATCACCATTGCAACCTATCGCTAAGGGGATATCAGTTGAATGGCCGGCTTCCCGTGACGGGGCTCCTCCTGGTGATACAAAACCCGATGTTGGAGTTGGGGGGGGGGGCGGTCGCAATTGCTGCTTTTCGGTAACGATAATAATATTATTATAGGATAGTTAGCAGGGAGAAAAAAACCTTAGTTCAAGGTAATTTCAGAATACTGCATCCGAGGCCCGGGCTCTCGTTACTGGCATGAAGGACATCCGCATTCCCCACTTCACCAATAATTACCAGAACAAGGTTTTTTTTTTTTGGCTCGCTGTAAGTTGGGGTACTTATAGGGCATGAGATGATGCGGTGCTGATGTGCGGTTATAGGGCATGTGGGTTTGAGATGTCCGGTGAGTGTGATAATAATATTATTATGGTATCAAAATTTAATGATTGGTACAGTACATAGCGGTTGACATAGGACATGGGATTTTGGGATGACAAAGGATTACGGGGTATCAGGACAGCCCTAGATTGTTTGTGGTTGCTGAGGATCTTGATTTTGTCGAGTTCATGAGATTCTGGAGTTGTTGGTTATTAGGGGATGGATTTATCTCCTTACCAATCCTTAGCTACCTTAGAATCTCTATCAACCATTCGGTGAACCCATCATTGCATGTTCCCATGGGCTTAGGCCTACTGCGATTTCACTCTCACGTCTTCATCGTTTGGTGTTTTCATCAGGCTTCTCCATCCCTCTGTTCTTTGTTTTCTTCTTTTTTTCTTCTTTTCTTCTTCTTCTTCTTTTCTTCTTTGTGCTTTTCTCTTGATTTGATTTTCTCTTCATTTGCTTGTTGTTTCCCTTCCATTTGTGGTATAATTTGGTCATGTCTTCCTATCCAATTCATTGGCAGAATAATTTCAACTGCTGCTATGTGCGGGGGATGCGTGGATGTATGGAGGCATGCCTGGTTGTTGGACTAGTGGGTGATCAGTGTGATCGTGTTACTCTAAGTGTACGAGTGAGTGAGCATGTATAGTGCTGCTTGGCACGTGTCCTATTTTGTATATAACGGCGTACCCCCCAAGCGCACTTACAACTTCTTTCAAGTCAGTCCTCACTTTTCATCCACAACATTTTTTTCTCTCCTGCTTTCAACCGTATCACTACCAGTTATCAGGTTGGTAAATCCATTGCCTTCTTCATATCTCCCACTGCTTACCCGCTTCCCACAGGTGATTTTTGTTGAGATGGACTATTGTCAACCATTTGTCCCTAAGAGCCCCCCAGAGGGCATTGAGGATGCCAAGTCTACAAATAGTTGGGCGTTTGTGCGGATGTTTAATGACTGGTATTTGGGGAAAAGGCTATTTCGTTCTCCAGAATATAGAGACAAGGAGCTCACGATACGGATGTCGCCGAGCGAATTTCTCGATTTCAAGAAAGCTCTTAGTGCGGATGAAAGTATTGAGTAAGGTGTTTGTTCCATTCATAAGTAATTTGACTAATAGTGCTAGGTTTCCACGATATTCATACAACTCATTATGTTCAACCCTAAATATCTATTGCCGGTCTAGTGCTCTGCGTGACTGTCTCGTGTTAACGATCATTAGAGGGTTTAGCTTTGCAACCAACATTCTTTCCACGGACATGGGGGTCCCGGTTACAATCTCTGGACCCGAGCCATTCAAGAGATTTGGTGGTCAATACGATGGGTCAGAGAAAATTACTGATAGCGCCCTGACAGTTAAGGATGCTGCTACTGATAATTATGAAGTGAAGTTTGCCCTTGAAGTTGGTCTCTCAGAGACTTATGACATGCTATTAAAGGAGGCAAAGATGTGGCTTGAGGGTACGAAAACCGTCTCTGCCGTTATGATTGTGAAGATACAGGAGGACCCGGACTATCGTTGCCCGATTCAAAACCTGAGTGATGAAGATTTTTCTCGACTGGAGTTTCTCAGTCTTCTGGAAATTGAAAAACATAATTTCACACTTGAGAGTGCATATGGTCCGGCTGTTTACAAGGGGTTTACTTGGGTGGGAAGGATTAGTGGGTTTATTGAAATCTGGAGGCGTGAGCCAATTTCTGGATTGGCCACTCGCATTGGCGATCGCATCGTGGGTTATCTCCTAGAGAAGATGCCATAGTTTATGCTAACCTATACAGAACCTGTTTGACACTGATGAACTCCGGGGAGTTACATTTTGGCTAAGCGACCTCTTCCAAATCCCCGATGAGTATGACCTTGAAATATCCATTGACTGGAAGCGCTTTTTCGACATGCTAGAGAGTGATATCCAGAACCTAGCTGAGAAGAGATACAAGGACGCACTAATGCTTCGTGAGGGACTGATCAATACAAGCTGCGATTATCTGCCTCCTATTCCTGCAAGCCCTTCTTAGTGGCCAATGGTCATTTTCACCTAAGGTTACTCACATCCCTTTCTATTGGATTGCCTATGGGATATGCGGCCGTGGGTATATGGGGTCATTGGGTATGTGATTTTGAGGTGTGTGGTGGATATGATATAATGGGCACAAAAGTATGATGGCGGATTGTTATTTTCGCATCTTATGTCCCTGGGCATAGGATACTGGTTTTTTAGTTCTGTCGATACTAGGAGCTATTGGGTATTTTTTGATATCAGGTGTTTGGTTTAGTGTTGTTTCCTTCACACTGTGTACCATTAGGCATACGTCAGGTGGTATAGGTCTGAAGCTTGAGCCAAAGAGAATACCAATAGACGGACTTTTTCCCTTAGGAACCCCGCTTACACTGCTAGCCCAAATCCGATAACCGGTGACATTTTCCGAGCGCTTCAACCTCCCAACACCCCCCAATCAAGCTACAACTAGCGAAAATTCACCTAGGAAAGGATTGTAATGGAAAAACCTGATTATCCTGGAGATGGCCCACTTCTCAGTGCCCTTACAGTACTCGCTATCAGCCCGCGCTTAAATTCAGACGGTATCTACTCTAGCTATTATACCCTCGGCAAGTCTTGAACTACCATCCTGTTTTCCCAAACCGCATGCCGGATCGCTGCAGGGCTGGTGTGCAGACATAGCATTCAGGACAAGACATCCGGCCGTTTTAACAACACACGAACCTTTTTTTATCCCCATCTTTTTCTCTCTTTCCTTTCCCTTTTCCCCAGAGGATAGACGTCCATTTGTGGCGTAGTTTTGTATCATAATCGCCTCCGGGGAACTCGAGTATGGTAGCCCTAGTAAAAGGATTCTCCTCATTTCTATTCTTGCGTGCGCCACGAAGGATGGCAACGGCACAAGAAGGACACAATTAAAGTCAATTATCGAGTGACAATTCGTGGACAGGCCAATGGGGGCTCGTGAGTTGTTAAACTCTTCTTGCATCGTCTAAATTTCCGTTGCTGGCGCGGCGCTTGTGCCATGAAGGGTTTAGGAAAAAGTGTTTGGAAGCGAGAGCCGAGGATTGATTCGCCGAGTGAGTGGCACCCCTCTCAAAGACGCGAAGGAGCTGGCAGTTTGCCGCGCCTATCAACGGGAATCCCCCCCCCAAAAAAAAACAGACTTGGCAACCGCAGCCAAGGCAAAACCTTTCTTGGACTAGACTGTGACAGACGTCTTTCTGTGTTGGCGGGAGCTACTGCGTACCCGTGGCCGGGTACTTGAATGGTGACAAGAATAGAAATATGACGGCATTGTAAACGCTCAATGCATGAGTGTATCATACACCGGCAGGATGCTGGGGTTTTGAATATGGGGGCCCTTCGTCATACAGATTGGTCAATTGGGTTCTGTGAATTTGGAACGGTCTTTGTAGTCAATGTTTCTCCTGTGTCCTGTTTATCCACAAGTACTCGAGTAATTGGATGGGAGAGAGGGAATGTGGACTAACGCTTCGTCTGAGCTCGACTTCTGAGACTTTCTTTGCCCCGGAATCAATTCGTTAGGAATTTACCATGAGTGTGTGTGCGTGCGGTGGACTAACGGACACACGGCGTGCCTGGGCAAGAGATTCGCAAGCTGCTGCCCATCTCTTATCACGGATGCGAGATCTTCTCTCGGGATTATTTGTTTTCCCCGTTCCTCACTTTCTTCCCCCTCTCTATTCCTTTTCTTCTTCTTCTTCTTCTCCTCCTTCACTTGGTCTTTTTCTTCTTCACCTTCCCCCCCCCCCGCCCGTTCTATAATTGCCTTCTAATACCTTCGCTCTGTCCTTTTCATTCCACGGTAGCCTCGTCACTCGTTCTGGGTCTATCTAGTCTAACTCTCGTTCACCGACCCCGCCCTAGTTCGTTACGAATTTACCATGAAAGGGCTCACAGCTACTCTCGTGGCTACGTCTAGTTTGTTGTTTTCCGGAATTGCATCTTCCCAAATCACTGAGCCGGTTACTGTTAAGGGGAATGCCTTTTTCGTTGGAAATGACCGTGTGAGTTACCTCTTTTGGAGAATTTATCCATCCATCCATCCATCCATCGATTCTGACCCGTGCTCAATTGGATCAGTTTTACATCCGTGGCGTAGACTACCAGCCAGGCGGATCCTCTGACCTGGCTGATCCGCTTTCTAACACCACTGTTTGCAAGCGGGACATTAGTTACATGAAGGACTTGGGATTGAATACAATCCGTGTTTGTGAGTTCTTTACCAGTTCTCAATTGATTCTCCGCCATAGGAGTTTGTTTGTTTGCTGAACTCGGTTTCAGACACCAGCGACAATTCCGCCAGTCACGATGAATGCATGGAACTCTTGTCAGAAGCTGGAATTTACCTTATCCTGGTGGGCTGAACACCGACTTCCCTAAGGTCCGAATATTATAATTGACGAATTTTAGGATGTCAATGCACCCAAATTCTCTATCAGTCGCGATTTCCCGGTAGCTTCCTACAATGAAGTCTACCTTCAGCACGTCTTTGCTACCATTGATGTGTTCTCCAAATATACCAATACTCTCGGCTTCTTCGCTGCCAATGAGGTGATTAATGCCGCAAATAGCACTCGTGCTGCAGCAGTTGTCAAGGCCCTCATCCGGGATATGAGGAAATACATTGCAAAGCATTCAGATAGGCCAATTCCCGTTGGATATAGTGCTGCAGATGTTGCAGAAAACCGGAGGGAGATGGCGCATTATCTGAACTGTGGGTCGGATGATGTCAGGGCCGATTTCTTCGCGGTAAGTGTTCCTTCTTTCTGCAATATTGAGAAAACGGCTAACGCAACTGTAGTTTAACGACTATTCCTGGTGTGGGCCCTCTAGCTTTGTCCAGTCTGGATGGAATAAGAAGGTAGCAAACAGTTTAACAAAGAGAAGAATTTGGCTCATGATTACCCTAGGTTGAAAATTATACCGACTACTCCATCCCACTCTTTCTCTCGGAGTTTGGATGTATTGAAGTCAAGCCCCGCACATTTAGCGAGGTCAAAACTCTGTACAGCACTCAGATGACTGGCGTGTTTTCCGGCGGTCTTGTCTACGAATTCACACAGGAGCCCAACAATTACGGTCTTGTTCAGATTGATGGGGATAATGTTACCGCATTGACTGATTACGATAACCTTAAGAAGCAATATTCGTCCACCAAAAATCCGCCCGGAGATGGTGGTTACCAGAAAGATCTACCGCCGAGCGATTGCCCTGAGCGAACCTTTTTGTGGGAAGCCTCTAATACCCTACCTGATTTTCCCAGTGCTGCTTCTGCCTATATGGTTCGTGGTTATTATTCCTCTTCGAGAGTGCCGCTAATTCGTGCTAGGACAATGGAGCTGGTAAGCCCAAAGGAACAAATGGTGTCAGCAGCCAGTTTGTGCCTCAGAGCCAGAAGGACTATAACCTCCCCGGTGAGTCAGGCGCGCCGGCTCCCTCGTCGAGTGGGAGCGCAAACCAAAGCGATCAAGGCGCCGCTGCAGGTGGAATGGCTGGGTTGGCTGCCGGAGGTCTATGGATGGGAATTGTTGTCGGGCTGGGAACGATTGCTGGTGTCATGCTACTCTTTTGAAAGGCAAGGAGGATTCAGGGAAACCCTTCCTATATATATATTACCTGCGCGTGTGTATGCTGCTTTTTTTTTTGCTTTTTTTCGCACCTTCAGGGCTCAGTATGGAGGGGTGATAAATGGGGAAACATGATGATAGGCTATGAACTGTCATGTGTGATGTTGATTTGTCTGTTTTCGGCCTTCTGGAGGTAGATATGGTTCACTCCAATGATTAGCTTGAACAAATGAAGTGGTTCCAAAGGAGAATATACCTCATTCCAGTAGTTTTACTAATAGAATCCTTCAGCCTTGGTACAAATAAGAGAGCGGCAATTTATGAGGCCACATGAAATTACTCGGGGATCAGATTTTTGTGTACCTTTACCCCTTGCTTCATTGCACGGGTTCGAGATTTAATCTTTATAGGGCCTGACGTATTTCCTTGTTGAGAAGATCCTACATAGCAGCTCAGTATAGGAAACCGCTATTCCATATGCAGCTTCTCGAAAACTTCCAACCCAAATCTGCGAGAACTTTTTCAGAATTCTCCCAACAAAAATGCACTAATACGGTTGAATATGAGACACGTTATGGCCATTAACCAACCGGGAAATACCTACCATGGGGTGCATATCCTTGATCGCGGCACGATGTTTCACCATTGAGAATCTACGAGGAACCTTTTTCATTCACACTGGTGCCATGCCTCGAGTGATTTGGAGTGATTGGAAGCGGTAGGTGTATCATAGTCCAATGTAGACGTGCTGTAGCCGCCCCCGAGCGGGTTCTACCGAATGGGAGAAGAAAGGAGGGAGGTTAATCGGCAAGACCCATGGCGAAAAATATAGACTCCGATTTTATCAAATTTTATGATGGCGTAAAATTTAACGATTTACGGGTGACCGATCATGGCCCACTGGGCGACATGGAGCACATTTGGTTCTTAACCCATTCCTTAGTTTTTCCGCCACACGTTTGCGAGTTATCATCGTACCGTTAACGAAAACATGAAAAACCTCTCCGGTTATCAAATCAACCCTGTATCATGGCTAAAATGACTTTTTTTCGGAAGGGGAATTATGATAAAAACGTCCCAACATCCTTTGTAATGCTGAACGCAATCCAGTTTAATTAAATATGTATATCTCGTATGAAAAGTGCTTATAAAAGGCAATATTTTTGCCCCCCGCGGAACAGAGCCTTCCAGTCAATTTCGAAGGAGACTATGTAAAAAAAAAATTATTATTATTATTATTTTTCTACCTGCGGCTGACAATTCTTCAATAACGTCCCCGACGTAGAGGCGGGTCACGACGGGGAAACGGGCCACCTCAACAGAGCAAAATAACTTGTCAAATAACAAAGATACCAGGACAAGCAAAAGAGAAATGTGAAGAAGAATAAAATAATTATAATCTAAGCCTGTCCATGAGAATGAAGTAGGAAAGTTGAGAAAAAAAAAGAGAGAATCTGACAAATGGGGGTAATTTCTATGGGAAAGTATGGACTATATAACTTACTACAATTAGAGAATATACACAGAGACAACCCAGGGGATGGAGATTTCTGACCTGAAAAGAGATAATATAATGCTCTACTATGGTGCAGTTTGGGAATTGCCACTTATTTGGTGAAGTGGAGGCCTTGTGGAAAGGCCAAGAGGATGGGAGGAGGAAGGGATCCCCCCTGGAGCTGAAGCAGTACTAGTGATCTCGCTGAAAGATAAATCTTTGGGCACATAAGCGGTTCTATTGCCTTGCCGACTAGAAGAGACAACTTCTCCCTTCCCTTGAGTCAGTCTCTTCGCTCTTGCTATTATTTTCTCTTTTCTTTTTGCTTCTTCCACCCCTTTCTGAAGCTGAAGATCTCAAGCCTTATCCAAATAAGAGTGGGATACCAGGATGGCTTTGGCAATATGGCTTTGGTAATATGCTGCCAGTCAGATTTGCTTATTTTAGGAGCAGAGGAAATCTTACAAACTGTTTCCTCTGCAATAGTTGCTGCTGCTAAGGCTGTTCCTGCAGTTGTTGCAAGTACAACTCTAACCTTCTTGACTATGTTAATATCATGAGATATTGTTAACAGGTTTTTGAATTGTGCAATCTGTTTCATAGTTTCAGGTGGAGAGTAGGCGAATTCAGCTTGAGGGGGAGTAGAGGAGGAAGATAAGTAAGTAGCAAAGGTACTAGAGGGAGAAACTGTAGTGTTCGGCAGTGGTTGGGTGCTTGCAATTGTCACTAGAGAGGATTTATCAATAATTTCAAGGACACAGGCATGGCAAAATAGATGAATACCCATAGCAGCAAAGGCAGCCTTAATATTAACTACTGTTAAGGCTTGTTGGCGGGCTTTTTGACAAAGCGGAAAAAAGTTTCCCTAGCTAATAGTTTGATATAAGTGTGTTCTAGTCCAATCATCAACCTCATTGCTATAGTATCGTCCAAGTGGACCAAAGATTCCAATATCCAATAGCTGGAGCAGGTGAGTGGAGTGGCTTGGAAAGCACAAAAAGATAAATCTTATGTGTAAAGCAGAACTCAATGAATTCTAGTGTGAAATGTGAGGAGTAGCCATCAATGATTAGAAGCCAGAAATGACCAGTCACTGGCCTTGTATTAGGCTTGAAATGATCTCTCAGCCAGAGTAGTCCAATTTTATCATTTGTCCACCCAGTTTTAGAGAGTCCAAATACTGCTGGATCTCAATTCTCATAATCATGGTTGCCCATGATATGCGCCTCTTTCTTTTAGATATACAAGGGAGAAAGAGCCTTTCCAGCAGCAGAAATACACTCCATCAAAGTAACCCATTCTTGGTTTCCTGGATGCCAAATTCTGGGAATAGGTCACCTCACACTGCAGATAACCTTTCTTTTCTTTACCACCCCAAGGGCAAAGCCTTTCTTGTCGGCATTCCAGGTATCCTCAACTGCAATCTAATATCTACTTCACACCTCCCTTAGCCAATTAAAAAAGCTCTGAATACCTTCTTGCTTTCCTGCCACCTCTCTCTCATGGTCAATTCGACTAGCAAAGCGAGAAGCAATAGTAGGATGCCTATCCAAAAATCTCGTAATCCAGTGTTGACCTGGCATGGTATTTGCACTATTTGAACTTGAATGCTTGTGTACTAAAGCTGCCACCATTTCATGTAAGTACATAAGCCTTGATGGAATCTCAATCTTATCCAAATGCTGAACCCATCTGACCAATTCACTCTCTTCCTCCTCGGTTGTGTTACATGGGCTTGGTTTCATGGTTTTGCTCTCTGAAAAAAAAAAAAAAAAATTTGATTCCTGAGAGTAGTCTAGGAGACCCTATTCATCTGAGCCACATTCCTAATACTGACTGGGTTAGGCTGATGCAGTGCTTCAATTGCCTTATTCAGGCAAGTTTTGTATTCTGAATCGGATCGAGACTTTACTTTTGGCATCTCATCCGGCTGTATTGCATATGTTCGTTGGTAAATCGAGAAGGGGGTTGATGCGGGGGTGGCCCGTTGCTACGTCGTGACCCGCTTCTAGGTCGGGAACGTTAGTGGGGACATGGGTTAAGTACAGTACTGTACATGCCAAGAAGATAAAAATAAGAAATAAAAAATAAAGATTGAGGGTATCTTGTTTTTTACTTCCATCTCCGAGTACTGTGCAGTACTGTACTGTACTGTACAAGTATCATAATAATATTATCATACTTATAAATCCCGAAAAAAAGAATTTGATTCCCTGGCAACCAGACTCACACCTTGGAAGTGGGAAACGGCTCATCACGACAACTTGTGATTGTTGCGCTCGCCAGCCGCAACCCGCCTTTCGTCATTAACTTGACTTAGTCCATGAAGGTTCGAGAGGTGGACTGGACGACCGGACAGACGCACCCTAATTATTAGCAATAAACACACTGGCTTCCACGATGATCAAGATGCGACTGCTCCGGGATTTTAAACTTTCTATACTTGTGCTGATGTCAATTTCACGGTTCCAGAGAATTCTTGTTTTTTTCTCGAATTTTCATTTCCATCACCGAGCACTGACCCCCTCCTTCGCATTGTAGACTATGATACGATACTACTCTTTCGGTCTTTCCTTTGTTGTCGACGGCATGAACTACTGGTCTACGTACTGTACTGTACACCTGCAACTGCACGGTAGATCCGGGAGGAAGGGCGATAGTCTAGTTCCAAATTATCCTCAGCAAACATGTTTTGACAGTTTGGTGCGGCGGCCCGTTCACGCTCCTGGCTGATCTGTCAGATGCATGTCGGGATCTGGCTTGGTGCCTTTTGGAGATAGGGGAGAAGGGTTCTTATTCATGTTGCATCACTCGTCTCTCAGACTCTCACACTAGCTGGCGTGTTGAAGCGTGCCTTCTGACGCTAGCCTTCCGCGGTGCTATCGTACTCTTTCCATTAGAGTACTTTTTCTCCTTGCATTAGGCCTATGGCCGCATCTACGATACAGTACTCGAGCACAGTATGGTAGACTTGTTGTGTTTCCTGGTACTAAATTCATAGGATATGCCTCCTTGCATCTCTCTCCATCTCTCCCCTAATATTGTTCGCTCGTGCACCATGCCTCGCTCCTAAAGTGTAGCCTAGATAGATAGTGCTCGAGTCTCACGCCCTCCCTTCCGTGAAAGCTAAGCGCTCCTGAATTCTCGAACTAACTTATCATTCGATTCCTTGTGCGAACCTCTTCCATCCATACAGTGCTTTGACAACATGACGGAGAGGATATGTCATTTCCGTTCCGGTAGGCTTTCGGTCGGTCGGTCGGTCGGTCGGTGGACCGGCATTCCCCCCGCAGGGCAAGCGCATTCCGTCTTGAGGAGGCGATCCGGCATGGAGCCCACGGTAATCGTGCGGAGTTCGACCGGTCGGTTATGTTATGTTATGGTGGCGGTGGCGGTCAGCAGGTTGAGTTAGGGAAGGTGTGGCGAGAAAGAAGCATGGCGACGGCGCGAGGGGGGAATAAATTTTTTTTTCCTTATCCAACAGAGTAAAACAAGATTACCGCAACCGGATCTAGATTGTAATGATACATACGTCACGTTTGGTTCTGTACGTCCCACGCGTGAAAGAGAATGCTATATTGGTACCAAGTTCGGGGAAAGTTCCTACAGTATGACAGTGTATTATGCGGTACTGTATGGTAAGGTGTTGTCAGCGTTGAAGCTGGAGCTTATCGGAATGGCGGCTGATTAACTTGTCCTTCCTTTTTGGCCGGTTGCCCTCGTCTTTGTACGATACCCGCTCCGTAAGCACAGTGAAGAACGGAGTTCGACTCTGCATATCTTACCCGTATTAACTCTTGTGATTCGCTGTCTCCCGGCTCCCCGTGTCATGAATTATTCTCCGAATTGCGGCATTCCGCTCTTACTTGCTTAAACAAGGAATTCATGCGAGAACACATGTGGGGGTGCGGGGCGGCGGCGGGATATTCTGTACGAGTACAGTACCGGTACTTAGAATAGAGTCCAGTGGAGATTGGTGAAGTAAACAGTTTGTATTAAAGCAGTACTGTACGAGTACTGTACAGTACGAGTATATCAAGTAGAATAGTTAAAATATTTCACAGAGTAATAATATACTAGAATAGTATTTATTGACAACATAATAATATGATATCAAGAAATATTATTAATGCCTAGCCCACACTTGTGTCAGGAAAAGACCACACACCGTTTCAAAGGAACCATCATCCCAGAATCCCGAGCTAAGCGTCTCTACTCAGCCAACGAACCGCAGGCAGTCTATGATACCCGTTTCACAGCGCCCAAAAAAGCGATCAGCGCCACCCACTCCATTGTCAGCAACGCTCGCCGGCATGATCAGCAGGCCTCAGCCATACTCGTACAGTTCTCCTCCATCCCTTGGCTATATCATCCCTTGGGCTAAAATTCCGCTAAATTGGGCACACAGGCCAAGGGATAGATAGATAGGGTAGGCCAACCAACCTTTCTGCTACGACACTCAGTCTAGACTACCGCACTGTAGACTAGACTACGTGGACCCCACTCCGGGACCTGAAGCCACCTCGCCTGAATTCGCGACAGGCTTCTATGCCCTAAGGCGTCACGCGGGTGTTAGGAATAGTCTACGACCCCAAGTCGCGCTCTAGATCTCACCATCGCTTTTTGCGAATCAGAGCCGCAGGCGGAAACTCTTTCTCGGATTGGTGTGACGGAAGAGGATAAAAATGGGAAAAAACCTAGGGTTTGAACTGACTGACATGACAGCCAAGGATGCCTCAAATGTTGGTTTGCAACCGGTGATCGAACGCCACCGCAACCTTGACTTTTTATTATCATTTTTTCACAAAACCTTTAGGGATATGTCAAAAAAAAAAATATTCAACAGAGAAGTTTTCTCATTACTTCCTCTATTTTACTTCCTTTTTTCTCCCCGCCTCACTTTTCCCTTCTCTTGGAGGAGGAGCCCTGCCCTGGCTTTAAAAGATCGAAAACGTCAAGCCGAGGGTCACAGCCTACCGGCCACCACTCGGGGTGAGAATATAAGTCTTCCCCCTATCGCCGCCAAACCAAAAGTTTCGCAAAACTTTTCATGTGTCGCAACATCCCCTCCGCGGCCAAGATTTTCAAAATTCTGGTTATGCGCACCAGGACACACGCCCCCCCTTGCTCCGGCTATCTTATCACTGCGAAAACAAAATTTCACACGGTCCTTCGTTATTCACTAGTTTAACAAGGGGATAAACCTCTAGTCCAAAATAGAGCCTGCCATAGCGAATCTTTTGCTCCATTTTCTCGTTCGGCACCAACAGTACCGTACAGTACTCGTACACATGCCCTGCCAAACTATCGCAACCTGAGGGAGTGCCAGTAGAGAGAGGGCCGACAGGAAACATGGGCATGAGAAGAGGAAAACAAGGCAGACCGCTCATGCCAGAACTGCGCACATTCGATACCGTACCGTACCGGTGATCTGGTGCTATTTCAGCGACTATGTATGTACCCATACCTTATTCACAATGGGCCTCGTCTTGCTCGGAGTGGCTGTTTTTGCTTTTTTTCCCCCTCCCCATTCTTTCCTGCCTTCCAGCGATGATGGTCCATGGATCGCATTGTACTGTACCCGCGCCTCTTGCCAAGCCGGTCTCCGCCACCTGATACTTTGCTGGATACCGTTTTTCACGAGGACTCCAACAAAGTATGGGTTGGCGGATGCCTTCTTGGCAAAGGAGTGCCAATGCCCGTACTTGTAGATCTCAAATGCTTAGCTTTCTTCTTCTCTGGATCGGTGCCTATCAGCTAGAAGTGATATGAAAGACAACAGGACTCGCTCGGTAGGGCGAAAGAGATGGCCTTTCTACCAGTGCATTGATGCCGCTAGCCATGGCCCCAGGTGTCACCGGATGAAGTTACTCGTACTGCCCGGGGAGTATTTATTCCAATAAATTTACCCAAGGGGTTGTTTCGGGTGTGTGGCTGCGGTCGCGACTGTGGCTTGTCCTGTGCAATGTCACAGCGATACCAGATTCAGGGTTCACCGGCAATGAAGCTGAACGCTACCAGCTAGCGAAGATGGTTGACTAATGCGGAATATATTGGCAATTTGAAGTGTGGACAATACGGGGTTACCGGGGGTGCATCTGTAAGGTGTCGGCACAGTACGAGTACTGTTGTCGAGCACAATGCGAGCTCCGGTGTTGTGTGCGTCGTACAAACAGCGGGGGAGGAGGTAGAATATTCCGCAAGAAGCGGTCAACTTCAAGAAAGCATATCACTTTAGCTAGCCTTATCGCGACTTCACCGCTGACTTCTCAGCATGGCGAATTTGGTTGGTGGAGATTCAAAGGCACACTAATCTGTCGCGCCTAGTGGGGTGCTTTTTGTTCACGACAATGCCATTACCTTGGTGACCTGTAGTCCGAGGTGCCGACTTTTGTGACCTGCGGTACAAGCACAATAGGATACTCGAGTGCCACAGTACTGATATCAGAACGCTGCCGGTATCGTATGCTCGTACTTGTACTCGCACTGTACAGTACTCGTACTGTACCAGCAGGCACTCTACGTCAACCGAATCAGCTTTGGAGGTTCCATCAGTGAACCCAAGCTTAGCTAGACTAGGTTAGAGGATGCCAGCATTTATTCGGATTTGTGACGGTTTGACGGGCGTGGCTGGCCGTCGGCCAACCCGATCCGACCGAGTTGGCAGGAAAGAGAAGAGAGAGGGAAAAGAAAGGAAAGGAGAGGATCTAGAAGCTGCCGCGATAATAGAAGAAAATTGGGGAAGACTTTTCACTGGCCTGAATGGATGAAGCCTGGGAATATCATCGGCAGGGGAACCATCCACTCCGATTCGCAAGCTTGTTGGCTGGTCGGGGTTATGGGTTTCATGATGTTTTGTCGTTAGGCCGGAGCAGGGAGTGGCAGGCAGTTGGGTACCTACCGTAGGTTACCGTACTGGACCCTGATGCGGGGTGAGCTGTCCTACTGGGAGAGAAAGGAGTGAACCATACCGTATGTTTATTCATTCTCAAGGAAGGAATTTTTTTCTTCTCATGCCTACCTACGAGTACGAGTACAGTGCTGGGGTAAGTGAGAGGGGATTAGCGGTGATGACAAAATTTTTTTTTTGAGAGATTGTAACAAAGGGAAGGGGAATCAAAGAATTTGAGAAAATATAAAGAATTGATATATCCGAGTAAAACTGATAAGGGGGAGTGATGATGTGTAATGGGTTAGTTTTGACAAATATCAACGTCAGCGGAAAGATAAAAATTTAATGATGATGCTGTACGAGTAGACGCTCTGTCATTTATACGGTGCCCAAACGTTCTATGCTACCGGGTACCGTGCTGTGCTTACAAAAGTGTGGGTGAGTGTGAGGGGAATTGTTTTTTATGCCTGTACAAAGCATTGCAGCTGTGGCTGTTTATAAGTTGCAATGTAGCTGTTTTAGTGGGAACATGATACTACGGCTCCACTCACGAAGCATGCTGCCAAAGCCACACCGCGCGTTTTCTCGGGGGTCGTCGGTTTGTGGTCCCTCGACTATCACAAAAAAAAAAAAAAAAAAAACTCTGGCCGCCATGGCAGGGCTCAGGGTTGGTTCTATGGCTGAGGGAGGCAAAGTTACCGTAGTATGATAATAGGTATGATACTCGAGTAAAAAGGAGGAAAGTAGGCTGCGGGAAATTGCGTTCGAGGGAAAAAAAAAAGGGTCCTTGAGAGAGATTCCAGCACTGAGGACCTTTCAAAATCGATAATTCAGGCCTTAAGCCGCCACAATCCAGTCCCGATCAATCAGCCGCGAAGGCCAAAAATAACCAACACTGAGGTTTCCAACAGTTCTCTTTGGCTGTACTCCTGCAAGTACAGAGATAGAGAGGGAAAGAGAGAGACGTGCGCACCCAGGAAATCCTCTCTTGCTTAGTACACCCCCCCCCTTTCAATCGGACAACAACTTTGTCTTAGTTGATTTGACCTTCCTGTTACCTGCTAGACTAAGCTCGCTGTCTTCTCTTTTCTATTGAGATACCTCCCTCTCCTCTCTTACCACACAACACCTGACTTGGAGAAGAAACCCCACTTACTTGCTGCTTGCTCGCTCGCCCTTCTCCTTTCACTTTTACTTTCCTCTCTCTACTATTTTTCCACTCCCACGCCACAACTTAATCTTCTCTTTACCGTGAAACAAGCATCAGTTTTGTCGTCGTAACCGCGTCATCCGGTTTTCTAAAGTCCTGTTTCTCTGTCGGTCGGGTGTCTTTCTCCTCTAATTACCTTCTCCACCGACAATCAATCTTCCACCCTCTCAACCACGACAAGGTACGGGTTTTTTTTTTTTTTTTTTTTTTTTGAAGCTAATCGACCGCCGACTGCCGCACTATACATAATTCCACCCCTCCTCCTTCCCATCGGAGTTTCCCTCAAATTTTTGGCAGAGACCTGTTGTCTATTCTTGGCTTGGCTCGGCTGAGGAGAAAGGAGGTGGTGTGCGAAGTGCAAAGCAACTGAGCAACCGAAAGAAAGCCCTCTGACTAACCCACATTCATCACCTTTCAGTCTCTCTTCCTCTTCGACCTCTACCACCTCAAGCACCATCAACAACACGAGGCTGCCATCAGCTTTTTTAACTCTAGACCTCGTACGAGCCCTTCCTTTTTTTCCCCCTTATTTTCCCCTCGTCCTCCCTTTTGCCGCCTCTCTCTTTCTTCCTCGCTTATTTTTCTCATCTTCATCTCCTTTTTCTCTTTGCCGAAGCACCCTGTCCTCTGACGTGACAACCGAGTTCTAGACCAACACACCACGATTACAAGATTGTGTAGAGATTACAACGGAAACAGTAGTTCGAGATGACGACCATGGTAAGCTTCCTCTTCTATCAGCTCAGTTAATTCTCCACTGTTATCTACATCAACAACCCTTTGCTTCGCACTATCTTGGATTGAACAAGGCGAGGGATGAATCGTTCGGGACGACATGGCGACCGATGCAGTTTGGGGGTTACTAACATTGCTTTGTTTGGTCATAGGATTTAAGGGTCGGGAATAAATATCGCATCGGTCGCAAGATTGGTAGCGGGAGCTTTGGGGATATTTACTTGGGTAAGCTTTCGGATATTCCCTTGAAAAAATTGTTATTTCTTTCCTTCTCTTTACTTTTTTGAGGCTGACGAGGTTTGCGTCTTAGGCACCAATATTATTTCCGGTGAGGAGATCGCCATCAAGCTTGAGTCGGTCAAGGCGAAACACCCCCAGTTGGAATACGAGGCCAGAGTTTACAAGTCCTTGGCTGGAGGTGTCGGTATCCCGTTTGTTCGTTGGTTTGGGACTGAATGCGACTACAATGCTATGGTTCTCGACCTGCTCGGGCCTAGTTTGGAGGATCTGTTCAATTTCTGCAACAGAAAGTTCTCTCTGAAGACTGTCCTGCTTCTTGCAGACCAATTAGTAAGTTTATCTAGTCGGGTCAATATCTTTATATCAGTCATTGACAGCCTTTTAAGATTTCACGCATCGAATACATCCACGCCAAGTCCTTCATTCACAGGGATATCAAACCAGACAACTTTCTGATGGGCATCGGCAAGCGTGGAAACCAGGTTAATGTGATTGATTTCGGTCTTGCGAAAAAATATCGAGACCCCAAAACACATTTTCATATTCCCTACAGAGAGAACAAGAACTTGACTGGTACTGCGAGATATGCTTCGATTAATACTCATTTGGGTGTTGGTGAGTTGACTACAGCGTTCAGTTACGGAACGGGGGCTGATTACTAGTATAGAGCAATCACGCCGCGATGATATGGAGTCATTGGGCTACGTCATGTTGTACTTCTGTCGTGGTTCTTTGCCCTGGCAAGGGTTGAAGGCTGCTACCAAAAAACAAAAGTACGATAGGATTATGGAGAAGAAGATGACAACCCCCACCGAGGTTCTTTGTCGCGGATTCCCCAATGAGTTCGCCATTTATCTCAATTACACCCGCTCTTTGAGGTTCGACGACAAGCCGGATTACTCTTACCTCCGCAAGATCTTTAGGGATCTCTTTGTTAGGGAGGGATTCCAGTACGATTATGTTTTCGACTGGACCGTCTACAAATATGTAAGCTTTACCCGCCCATTGATCCTATTGAAAATTCCAGTGATCTCCCCGTTTCATTGGAAAAGGACATAGGTTAATTGAATTTGGGGAATTTTTCCCATGTTGACTCTTTAGCAGCAAAAAAATGCCCAGGCTATAGCTCAGGCTGCCGGAGGACAGCAGGGTCCTGGCGAGGATGACGAGAAGGATCTGAATAAGCGGGGGACGCTTCGTACCAATGCCGCAACTGCCGGACACCCCACTCCCCAGACTTCCAATAAGCCTGGCGCCGTCGGAGGGTCTAGAAGGAAGGTTGTCGAGCGTGGGGCCATGGCCGGAGTTGACACTCCTGGCACCATGGATACCACTCGCGGACTTAGTGGGTCCGATAGGATGTAAGTTGATCCGAGAGATGTATGTTTTGTTCATGCTAACGGTATTTTAAAGGCTTCGTTCTGCCTCTAAGGGCGCTGGAGCCGTACCCACTCCTGGCTTTGCCCCTCAAGCTGGCGGGTATCGTGTCAACAAGCGCGAGGACCAACCTAGCGGTTCTGGTGGCGCACAGCAGTGGTATTGAGTGAAACTTTGATACCGTCAGATTCCTTGAAAAAAAAAAACTTGTGACTACTCTGGGGACTTGAAATTGGTTTGCAAGGAGCTGATGGATGGGTATAATGAGTTTCCGATTCTTTTTCCCTGTCATGTGTGCGTGTGTGCTCGAGACTTGCTTTGCGGTGGCCTAATCGTGGAGTTTGTTTCTGAAGTTTCTCTTGTCATTGTTTCAATTTCACTTTTTTGCTGTATTTTTTTCCTCTCACTTTTTTCTGTCCCCAGGCTACATAGTTTTGTCTCCGCTTTCCTTTCCTCTTCCGATGGACTGTTTGTGTGATTTGCACGGGTATTATGTGCAGGATATCCAGGCGCATTTTCGATCAACAAGCCGGTTGTCAGCGCGTTCGTTCACCTATTTCATCATGCGATCATACCTTCGACACCTCTTCAACCGGTCTTGATCGTTTGTATAAAGGGTGGTCTGTTGGATCTGGTCTAAGATACATCGTTGTGGATTTGTGTTGCATCTCATTCGGGTCAGCATTTCTCTTGGGCTGGTGGCATTTTTTATCTTAAATCAGTATCTCTTCCAGTCAGTTCCTGCGGTATTACAAAACGGTCATTGGTGCAAACGGGTATCATGGGAGGGATCGATCGATATTGAATGGTCGACCTGGGGAGAAGAACTTATTTGGGCCAGCGGTCCCACTGTTTTTGCTTGAATTGGACGGCGTAAGCCGGACGGCTGGCCAAGGGAGAGGGGTGGGGGGTGTTGGTGGATGGATTTGCTTTTTACTTTCTTCCTTTGCGATTTTATGCATGTACGCACACATGATTGGGGAGGCTTTTTCTGAATTGGAGAGGTTGCTTGTATACCTTTCTTAGCTTTTCTTGTTTTTGAGATCAGGGCCACGATCTCTATCTCTCCATTAATGTGTTTTTTGTTGATTCATCCCTGTAAAATGGGATTTAACTTGGGTGCTTGTGCTTTTCGGGTTTCTTCCCTTTTATATCTCATGCGTTTGTTTTCTATTTTTGCTTTCGTTTTTCCTTGCTTGATGATCGGGGAGAAAGTCTGGGGGCTTCTTCTACATCATGCGGCGGAAGGTGTTGGGACGAAGGTTGGAGGATGGGATGGATGATTCATGGGATTTCGGGGTGATGGGGTGGTTGGTGCTTGGGGTGAGGGAGTGTGAGGCTTAGTTCAGGGGACGAGGAGGTGATCTGCGAAAGGGCCGCTTCCGGGGTGGCCTCTTTTTTGTCTTTATTTTTCCATCTTGTCTTCCGGCACCAAGGTTATATAAGTTGGTGGTTGGTTGGAGGGATTTCTTCGCTAGCTCACACTCTTTTTTTCATTGCTATACTTTTATTTTTCTCATCGGCTTGCTCTTGCGGTTTGGAGGATGATGGGAGGTATGGTGAGGGGAGGGGGTGATGCTGGTGAAGAGGGAGCGGTGGGTTAGCTACTGGGTTGCTGGTGAGATCTGAGTCCCACATCCGCGATGCCGGAATCGGACCTCGCCTGTTGCCATTATTATGGGAATGAATGCCGATGGATTTCGCTAGATTTGATACCCTATAATTGTTCCGCTTGCCAGTGACTTTTATTGCGTTGTAGTGTATTACCATAGTATTGTCTTTATATTGACATTTCCACCACAGCGAAATCCCCTATAAAACCAGCACTTGAGCACACTATTTCGTGCGATTGATAGTTTACGTGATAAAAGTCCTCCGATTGTATCAAAGAGTTTTGCTCAAATGGTGGTTGACAAATGATAAAAATGAGACATGATGAGAAAAATCTCCAAATATCTGAATGACGAAAGTATTATCATAATGTTAGTAAGTATGATATAAAGCGGAAATCCAGGACGAGGGGGCCCACAGGAGCTAGCAATCCATTAAGATATTGCCCCGGTAAATGGAGTACTCGTATATGGTATATAATTATGATGACTGGGATATGAGCGGCCCACTGAATAACGGACACACGATGGTGTTGGAAGTTTGTGGATGGCCTGAAGATGAAGGAAAGCGCGTTCATTCCGCTCAGGCGGAGAGGTCCACTCTAAATACAGGAAAGTGGTCACTCAACCCACCTTGGGCTATGCCCAACCATACATACACTCAATACATCTCCACCAATAAAAAATACCAGAAACTCTCATCCAATCACACTCGTCTCCATAACTGCTATGGGGATTACCACCACTACCCCATCAGTATACTACCACTACTGAAGAGACACGAGGGAGTCATCTTTAGTGTTAAACCCTCAGTTGAGATGTTTAGAGGGTTTTTTTCTTAAGAGAACTTGGTTTACCCAAGCGGGAGAGAAGTACAGATATCCCTATTCTGAGAGGTAGGTAAGGTGGGTAGGCGTGGTTATATTCAACCGTGTCGAGATTTTTGGGGGATGGTCTGGTTGATATCATACCTTGCGGACGGGGGTGGGGGGCATATATATATATATATATATGATAGATAAGGATTCAACACCCCCAAACGAGACGGCGCAAAGATGCACATGGTGCTGCGGAGATGACTTTATTTACGGGGGAAAAATATATATATCGTTCGAGTTGTGGAGTGGTCGTCCAACTCGCCTGACTATATATCATAATATTATAATGTAAAATCAAATAAAAGACTCGTTAGAGGTACTGATAATATATGGGTGTTCTCCTAGCTTGGAGAAAAGCTCTAGCCCCAAGTTCCGCACAAAGGTGCGAACCCGGTACAGTACAGTACAGTACTGTACATCCAAGGAAAAATCTGGAAAAGCTGCTGGGAATCCAGCTTAGCAGGGCAGATACTGATCTGGATTAACATAAATAAACTTTTTCTTCTTCTTCTCCTTCCTTATGCCACATGAAGATTTCCCTCGCCACTCGTTATTGGACATCCGTAGGCGGTGCGGGTGAATTCATTACCGTTGCTGATTTCCGGAAGTGGATGATTCGTGCTGTTTATCATACTTTTATAGTGCCGTACGGTGCTGTATTTACAAACGTTTGTAGCGTCTTTCCAATCACGCAACTCAATGAAACTCACGCACTCCGAACAACTTGTGCAGTACTGTACCGTCGTAAATAGCGTAAAACGCTCTCTATTGTTTCAATTCTCAACTCATTTGCCGCACCGTACCGGTTATTTCGCGCAAAGCGGCGCGGGTAGGTTGCATGCCGTACTGTACATAGTATTGTACATGTCATATAAAACCAAGGGAAGTAAGTGTGGCGGGAATGGGGGAGGGGGTGGGGATCGTCGCTGTCTTCCGGAGGAGTGGGTGTGCCGGTTGTGCGAGTAATGGGTAGACTAAGAGGTTTTGTGCAGTGTGTATGATACTGTGCCGGATTGTTCAAAGTGAATTTTGGTGTGAGTGGGGTGGTAATCAGGATGTACAGTACCGGTACTCTATACTTTGGGCACTCTTTGATAGCGTATTATACAAGTTCCTCTCTATGAGTGACCGTTCTTAGTACTTGTATGATGCTATGTCTAGGATATATATATATATATATATCATAGGATGCCTGGTTTACGTGAGGTACTGTACTGTACCTCCAGCACCTGCCCTTTCAAAACAGACCGGATCACCGACCCAACCCGAATCCATGACCAAACAAACGGACACCCCCACACTCTCCCCAATTGCGCATTTGAAACTCCTGGACAACCCACCGACCGATCCGCCGATCCCGATCGCGGCACATTTCCAAACGGCCCGTACGTACGGTTGATGGCGGGGTGGGTTGAGTTAAGGTGCTTCTAGGTTCCGCCTTCGCTTTTTTCCTTTTTTCCTTTTTTCCTTTTTTGTTGTTCTCGAGGGTGGTTGTGATGCTGGGCTGTGAGTGAAGTCCTAGTTTTGTATGATAGCGGGTTGGGAGAGAGGGCCTGGAACTGTGAAAGTGGTATCATATTATCATATTATCATAGGGGGGACTGGTGGCGGTGGTTGCCTTGTTGTATGTGGGTTTGGGCTTCTTTAACTCATGTCACTACGATAGCCTGGTAGGTGGAGCGTACCTGGAACAGCGACCGGTATGGTGTTCCGCTCGGGTACAGGTAAAAATGAAAATGTTTTGAATTATCGCGCTTGTATCGGGTGGGGGTTAACATACCGTAGGGGTACAGTACGGTGGGTGCGGCTGTTCATGACTCCTCTGGTGTTGCCGCCCGGGTTATTCTTGGTGCGTAGGCGGCTATTCCTGTTATGTTGGAGGCCTTGAACTGCGCTGTGCGGTGCGATGTGCGGTGATATCCTGAGCGTGGACCGCCTGAAGACTTGCCTGGCACTACCTTTAAAAGGCACTTCCGAGGATATTAGGCCGCTGTGGATCCCGATGTTTCCCGCCTGCGGATCCACCCGTGAGGCCTAGTCATTTATTGTATCATAATTAGCTTCTATCATACGGAGTGCTTGTATGATATGCATAGTGAGTGAACTCTCACTGCACCCCTAGCCCATCAAGTCACTTCACTTCCCCTGCTCGTGCGTCCCACGCCGAAGCACGACTCATCTTACTTACTCAGTACTGGGAGACACTATTACCCTAAGATCTCGAATAATTGGTACAGTACTCGCCCTAAGACGTCCGAAATTTCCTCTCTTGGATACCGGTAGGGAGTCGAAAAAGCTGACCTCTTCAGCCCCCTCCCCCCCCCCCAAAAAAAAAAAACAACCACTGTCGGACCTTTCCGGGAAAGGCAACTCCAACGCCCCAGCGCGAGTACCTGTACCAATTATTCTGATTCTTGCGGTATTACCGTAAGATCTCGGAATTCGCTATCAGATTACCGGTATTGGCTTGACAAGGTTAAGGAGATCTGACCGCACCCGCACTACGGTAGCTTGGCCGAGCACATGATACGGGGTGTTAGATGACCGCTAGATACGATACCGCGTTTTCCGCTAGGGTTTGCCCTCTGTCAGTTTGTTGAAATAGAGTGGGGGCTAATACAGCGCGTCCACCATGGTTCGGAAGGGACTAAAATAGGCCTGTTGTGGCCGTGGAGGGTTAGGTGAAGGCGGCTTGTTGCGGAGTTTGAAAAAAATTAAAAAGACTTATACTCGAGTATTTACGCACAGGTGGCGGGCGAATCTCACCAGATAATTCGGCATTAACTTGCTCCAAAGCTGGAAGTTAGGTAAGTTCTGCTCCTTCCCGTCTTTGGTGGTGTGGCTGGGGCTTATTTGTAAGCATGGGTAAAGGAATCTGGATACGCTTTGAGCATTGGAAGAGAGCAATCTGGAGGCAGAGTTGGCCTTGGTATTGGCGGGTAGTCAGACGGAAGGAAGAAAAGCGTGTGAGAGTGGTTGCTGTCTAGTCATGCTGGTTCCGGGGGGTGGGGACAGTTGGGTTCCGCGAGATACCCCGCTGGGGATCGTGATGATTTCCAAAATTCTGCATGCGAAAGTGGTGGTGGTGAGAGGAGATCAGAAAGGAGAATGCAAGACGAGAGGGATGTTATGGAGGGTGAACTGCCTTACTTCATTTCACCTGGGGTAGACTGGATAACGTATAAGTATCACTCATCCATACCATATTATGCCGCACCACCCCAAGATTGGCCCACGATTAGATCAAAATACTCCTCCATTCACTTTTGACACAGCGAGGCTGACTGGGTTTCAGGCCACCTGGTATACATCTAGATATGTTTACCTGGGTTATCCCGTCCGGCAAGAGTTGAAGAGCAAAGCGGTATCATACGGTATCATCGTCCACTCCAGCCCACTTTCTGGAAAGATTGGATGGATGGGTGGACCGAGTATGCTATCCTAGCAAGTCAAAATTAGCTGTCGTTAGCGCTGTTGGAATTTCAGGAGGTGAGGAGGTTGAATGGGTGCCACTAGCGGAGGAGAGGGAGGGGGGTGAGAGGATGATTTGGTAGCTGGGCAAATGGCTACACAGCTCCCTACTACTTACCTGCCGGGTATGGTACCCTCTTTAATCCTACGAACCATCGCGGTGTGTGGGCTCCTTCTCAATCCATTTGACGGCCGCTATCTCACAGTGCTGATATGGTTACACGCTGGCACCGGTTTTACTTTCCGCTCGTACGTACGCATATATTAGGAGTGCGTACATATGTGAATTACCTACTTGCCTGCTCACTCTACGCTGCTTTTATTTAGCAAGAGCTCGAATAAAAGGGCTATGTGCCAAGTAGTCCAGAATTTCCTCCCTCCTCAGGAAAAGGGGAAAAAAAACACACCAAACAGCCTGCGTTGCAAGATAAACAGGGAGGGGGAAAACCACCAGACTATACTAAGGGTGGCAACATCAACGTCCTAACACAACACTCCTTATCCGGGGCTCTACGGTATCTAAAGTTGAGTCAGGCCTTTTTCTCTGGTTGGATGGTTGTATGACTAAAGCGGTATTTTCGGATACTTACCACGAGATACGAATAAAATATTCCTTGAGGCCAAGGGTCTAACAGTCAGGAGTTGGAAGCACCATACCATACCGGGGCTCCTGCTGTCTATCTGGAGGCCACGGATGTGCCCGTTTGCTTTTCTAAAGGAGATTTGCCGGTGGCGAGCTGGGATATATTGAGTGTCACATTTATGTTTGCTCTTGGGGAGCGAGAGCAGGAACAGAGGCATTTAGGTTTGCACAGTGGAGGGTGGGCAGATGGATCGGCGGTAGGACAGGATTCAGCCATGAAGTGTGGTGGAGATGATTTCTGGTTTTGAACCCACGAAGGATTAGAGGGGACAGTTGAGATACGGTAGGGCCCGTGTCCATCTAGAGTCACTGAGCTCACGTCGGAACTTGGTAATGTGGTCTGCTTCCTTCTTATCCTTGATGTGTGGCCGCTCGATTCGGGATGCTTCAATAGCCAGAGAAAAGCAATTTATGGAATTTGGGATGGTGTCACGGCGGTTAAGCTGGAGAAAACCTGTTGGGGTTACCTCGGATGGTTTCTGTTCGAAATTGAAAATGTGAGGGTATTCGATGGGTGGGCGGGGGTTCGTCAAGTTTAGCAAGGAATTTAACATCTGTGGGTGATTTGCTGTGAGCAGTGGTTGGTTTTGTGGTATCACATGTGTGGTTCCCGGATAATTCTGGTGCTTTCTAGCACTGTGATTTCTATATATTTATTTGATGTTTACCAGGAGCGGAGTGAAGTTGATATCGTGCGGCGGCGTCGTGCATTTGGGAAAAGTGCATAATTTCTTTTGGAATAGTCATCATAGCGTACAATTCCCTTATGAATGGATCGAAAAAAGGTTTCAATTTTAATATACTTGGATAACTATCCAATAGGCCACGAGAGATGTGACAAGGCTTACTCGCCACTCGTATACCAGCATTCCAACACAGTAGGATTGGTTTTAGGTCCACCGGTATGATATATACTCCTAACCCCTCCTTATGCCAATCCCCCATAACACAGTAACGATTCACTCCCCGGAATAGGGGCAAGATACGATGCTAAAGGATCACCCGACAAGCCAACAGGACACGGATATCGCTGTACGGTAGCGGTGGCTTGCAGAGGCCCAGAAGCTTGCGTTTCCGGAATACAGTACAGTACCCCACCCGCGATAGGAACCTAAAACTGTACCCTGCCTCTATAGATGTGTTTCGAGAACTCGCTGGGCAAGCCTTCGCTATGGGAGTGTTTAATGCTGGGCCTACTCGAGCGGTATGTATTGGCATGAGGTATGGGTTCATTATTAACCTAACTTTAGGTCACATGAGTGCCGCCCGAACCAATATACCGCAAGTTCTGGTATTGTTGAGAGGTTTGTCCTTGAGGTTTGCTATATCTGAAAGGAAGTGTGACTTTTTGGAGGTCAAGACGCTCTGGACTTGAGCTGCGCAAGCTATTACCACGAGATGTATTATTGATATCCTAAATAGGTGTTCTAGAGTGGGGTCGAAGTACTCGTGCTTTTCCATTCTAAAAGTATCCGCATATATCTTGGCGCAGTTTCAGCGTTGGGAAACCTTAAACCAGTACCCTGTAGCGCTACCTTTGAGCTCTGCATATCCTGCTCTAAACTCCTATAGCTCATCTGAAGGAGAATACTTTTAAAAACCTTTCTGTAGACTAAATTTCCAGACTGCTTTGTATCGAAGTATTGAGAGAAAGATACAATAAAAGCCGCTGTTGAGGAACCTTGGAAGTTTGAAGCTGAGTATTCTTTACGATGGGTTAAAGAGCTCTTCAACCGCCACTCCAACTATGCCAAGATTTCCGGATACTTTTAGAATGGACAAGTAAGCGGGGGCGCAACGAGGCTCAAATCCCAAATTGTAAGCCCGACAAGGTGACGTTGATCCATGACGCGGCTCAAAAGAGCCTCATGAAACAAAAACAAAAACCGAAGGCTACCCCTCCATATCAGAGTGGCCCCTCTAACCATTCCTACAACAATCGACCCCAACAGGATGGACATGCCCGTGAACGTTCCGATAGACGATCCCAACGCCGACACAGAATGGCAAACTCTACCCCCCCCACTCTATTTTGGGAAGTCTGCCCCCGCTAAACGTTGTCACAGGAACGATATCCTGCGGAAGCACCGAGTTATCCCGGAAAAACCACCGTCCCCGACACCCATCATCGAGGAGGCGATATTACACGCACGGGAGCTGGCCCACGAAAACCGGCTGGAGGGAAAGGACTTGGACGAGTTGGACGAACTGGAGGACGAGGAGGATGAGGGGTTTTTGGCCGTTTACAAGTATGTTACATACGGGAGCGCCTTGCGTACTCAATACACGGGCGCGCACACGGCGATGATACTGATGGCAGCGATGAATCAGGCAGAAGCGGCTCGCCGAGCTCTCCGCGCTATCTCAGAAATCGGTGCACGGTCAGGTATACCACTTGCAGAAGCCAGAGTACTCCCGTGACGTGACGGAGGCTTCGAAGGGGTCCACCGTTCTCGTGAACATGACGAGCTCGAATGCGGAGTCGCGCCTGCTGTCGGCGCTCTGGCGCCAAGTGGCGGAGAAGTTTGCCGATGTCAAGTTTTGTGAGATTGCAGCGGGTATGTGCATCGAGGGGTATCCTGATGCGAATTGTCCTACGATATTGGTATACAAGGATGAGGATATTGTGGAGCAGATTGTGAGGTTGAGGAGGTTGAGGGGCATGGATACTCGGTTGAAAGGTCTTCATCTACTCTCTCCATTTCCCTACAACTACTTTTTTGGCGTATTAATTCGGGGCAACGCGCGTGATTTGCAGATATCGAGCAACTACTAGTACAGGTAGAGGCAGTGAAAATCACCGACAAACGGCTAGGGAGTGCGGACGAGAATGACGGGGATGACGGGGATGGGGATGGATCTCGGATTAGGGCTGGTAATAGTCGCAAAGCTAAGGTTGAAGATGACGAGGAAGATTGGGATTAGATTGGATGGGCTTATTTATTGTTTCCTCTTTTCACTCTTTCGGTCCTTCCTTACAAGTGTAGGTTCCACTGGTTTTCCCCGGCAGGTGCTGTCCTGTCCGACCCTCTTGGAATACCCCGTTTTAGTCGTGAAGAGTCGCCATGTTATGCTTGCAAGCGAAATGTGGAGAAACATGACAGATCAGGCACGCCCGCCTATTGCACCATATCTATTTAGGGCTGCATACCACGTTCACCCATGGGCATACATATGCGCGATATAGTAACATAGTATAACCCGGCATGGCTCACCTCAATCACCTCATGTTGCTCCTCAAGAAAAAGCGCAGGACGGAATTCAATCGCGATGTAAGACCTAATAGGGATGGTGCCCCACTGTGGCCATACTCTTGGGTTCGTACTTGACCGCACTATTGAACTGAACTGAACCGAACAGGGCAGATAAAGAAAACGGGGGTTCCATCCCGGTTATTTGAACTGCCGGTATCCAATCTAGGCAATCGACTCCTGATCCTTGGTAAACGCATCGGCAGGGTGCAGGAACCGCTAATTGTAGTTCATAATGACTTTATGATACTGTACTCGAGTAGTCGGTTGCGGTAGTTGGCTGGAAATGTTTGCATTTTTGGGATTCCGGTGCAGGGTGAGGGTGACGGTGATAGGGAGGATGCGCTGTGCTGTACCTTTAATTATAATTAGAATGGAGTACAGGGTGCTGGCGTGAATAGTTAATCCTATGTTACACTGAAAAACTGCAGGCTATCTTACTTGCCGGGCACCGCGCCGTATGATACTCGTACCGTGCAGCTACTATAGCAATATCATACAGGTATGATACTATGCCAAACCGCCAGTCAAGTCGTGCAAAACCAACCAACCAGCACCACCACATCGTGCCCCACCTGCGCTTCCGGGTACTGTACAGTACTCAAGCGCCTCACGCCCGCGGTGGCCGTGACTCTAATCGCTCAAGATAATATAACCTAACCCAATATAACCTAACCCAAAATACCCGACCGGCACTACCTCCCCCTCTACATTCCCGTACGAGTACCAATGATACCATTCATACCAATATTACTCGGTACCTGTAAACCGCAAGTCAGAAATGTCCGAAAATGACAGCGTTAGCTACTCGTATGCTGCTAGTCTAGGGATTCTGGGGGTGACGGCGGCAAGGGAGGAAGGGAAGATTCCCAGCAACCGAATGTAGCAGGGGAAGTTGACGGATTCGAGAGTCCCCTCCGTCAAATAATTTGCCAAAGTCTGGTTAGAATCATGCCTCAGCATTGCCAAGGTACAAGTAAGGAAAGCATATGGTGAAAAGCGTTTAGAAGGTGGACCAAGGCCGTTGCGTTTGCCTTGCGAAATACCTTAAATGGATAGGGTGCACTGGGAGGGTAAATCATGGGGATTGTGTGATCTTTGCTGCGAAGGGCTTTAGGTTGATAGCAAATAAATAAATAAATAAATAAGGTAAATGTGATGCGGGTAAGAGAGGTGAAAGTGATGACATATACAAGGGATAATTATTACAATTAAATCGCAAAACTTCTGCCATAGCTATTACCAACTTTATTTTCTAACCTGTACCCTAGCAGATTAAGGTATTGCACCATGCGACGGCCTTGGTCCACCTTTAAAACGCTTTTCACCATACCAACTTCTTGACTTTGCTATTGGACTTCCTATTTAGGAAGGTGGCTAAAGGGTAAAACACTGGTCCCATCCTCATTATCTCTACCAATGTTGAACGTTGAAGCCTTCATAGGCTAGGATGTTAGTCTCATCCTAGGATGCCTCGGGTTTGACAAACAGATAGTTTGATTAGCTACTTGGGACATTAGTGCCCTTTTGTTAGCTATGGACAAGGTAGTAGTTGTCTTATATGTGTTTCATATACTCACATATATGGTCTACTAACCTTTGTGAAAAAAACTCATAGGATTGAGAAAATGAAATAATATGGATAAGTTTTTTGGAGCAGTTGGTAATATAAGATACTACCTGAGGCTAAGACTAGCAAGGTAAGTGTGAATCTGATGGAAATTGCTGTGAGAGTTGCAATCACAGTGATAATTTTGAAGTATTAGAAGATAAAAAAATATAGGTTATTAAGAATTCCAAGAGAAAATACAGGGGTACGGTTCAAGATCTCCAAAACGTGTACCAGATTTTTCATCATTTTCAAATCCTAAAGGCTTTACCACCACATCTCCAAACGAGCAAAAAAAAACCTGTTTCTGAAAGAGCTAATAATGGAGAATAATAAACAGGTTTTTTTTTTCCAATTAGCCATATAGTTGTAAAGCCTTAAGGATTTAAAAGTTGCTACTTTTGGTGTAAGAGGAGAAAAGGTGTTATGACAGCCACACTTAATTTGCTTAGTAATAGTAAATTACACATATTAGAATAAGGGTTCTATGGCAAAACCTTGAATTTTAACAAGGGTTTTTAAGAAACCCAGTAACCTAGTAGTCATAGATGCATAATTATAATAACTTTGTATTATAGTATAATACAAGTAGATTATAATATGATATATAAAATATGTATCTTTGACAATAAACCAAATTGATAATAACTGTATATTGTATCTCTTTAATTCTATATCTAACAACTTTTATTTCCACAAATGCCACGTTTTAAAAAAGCAAGAGCTGCTAGTCAAGAGGTTAGCCATTTGGGTGGTGGACCTCCTAAGATAGCTTCAGCAAGTGAGATTGCAGATAAAGTGACACTTGTAGAGGAAGATGCGATTAGGGGCCAAGTAGTAAGTGTATCAGAAAAAGCTATTGAACCAGTCTCAGGTATAGTGTACAAGTAATTCAATAATTGAATAGAAGTTATTGCTAAGAAGTAGAATAGAAATTGAATTGGGTTCAGTAGTATAAAAAACACCATCTCGACAAACGCTATGGAGGCGACGAAAGCAATTGGAGATAGCTACTGTATTAAATAGTAGAGAAGAGGTGAATTTCATTCAGGAAGGTATGTTACCAATGTTTGATATAAATAAGCTTGAATAAGAAGAGAGTATAATAGTACTTACATTAATATTGGCAGAGGAGGGTGAGCATGGGTTTCAGTCAGAACTCCAATTGCAATCCTATATAAAAGATGCAATTGAAGTTTGGCCAAGGGTTGCCAATATTCAGAAGGAGAAGGTTAAGTACCAGATACTATCTTCAGGTAAGTTATTTATTGTCTAGTATATACTATAAATCTAGGAGAATATTGAATCAACTAGGTGAAAATTGAGATAACTAGTAGTGTTTATAGCAATTAAGGATCTAAGAAAATATCTAAAGTCCAAGAAGTGCTCTCTTAAAGAAAAAGATCTTGAAAGTCACTATCAAGTCCTACAATTTATGAGATTTCAATGAATGAGTGTATTCAAACATATATAGAACAAACAATGAAAGGAAATTGCACTCCTTGTTACTGCTACATCAGAAAGAGGCAGACGAGTGACTGAAAGAATTCAGCGGGATGAACGTAAGTGGATCAAAAGTTGAGGAATTATCCTACAGAAATGGTGGGAGCAAGCGAGTATTATATCAAGGATGGACGAGGAAGAAACACAGCTTTCAATTAGAGAGTATATTGCTGGAGCTGGAGATTCAGTCACAGCTGCTGGGTTGGTACATGCTATTACCCAATATTGGTTAACCAGCCGATTGCCACCCCCTGATATCGATGGACAAGGTCACCTTCTATTCCCTCCACATGTTCCTCTTGAGCAAGTAGCCATACAGAGGGGAATTCCAAACATACTTTCGACTTGGATCGCATCTAAATGGCTGAATAAGCTAGGATACAAGTATAAAGAGGATAAGAAGAGAGTGTACAAAGAGAGACATGAATGTCCAGATGTTATCTCATATTGATAAGACTACTTTCTACCAACTCTTGACCACCTAAAGCTGCTGATGGTTCAGTGGGAATAGGATCAGAATGGTAAACCAGTCATGATTTATCTGCAAGATTTACCTCCTAGCCAAAGTCCAATTGTTTTGATAACACATGACAAATCGACATTTGATATAAATGACGGTAGAAAATATGTGTAGATGAAAGAGGGTAAACCACCAATTAGACGAAAGGGTCACAGCAAAGGCAAAATGGTTTCCCATTTTGTAAGTCAAGGCGGACTTTTGAAGGCACCGGATTGGATACCTATTGGTGACCTCTCCACTTTCGGCATAACAGATGAGCCAAACCTCCACTATAGTCCATATATGGCAATCATGAAAATTGAATATGGAGGTGACAAGTGGTGGGTCGGTGAAAATCTTGTGCTACAGGTTACCAATGTTGATATTCCAATATTTGAAACAGCTTTTCCAGGATGCCAAGCTCTCTTCCTTTTTGATAATGCTAGCTGCCATTAAGTCTTTGTACCTGATGCTTTACGTGCTAAAAACATGAGCCTGTGGCCTAGTGGAGGACAAAGTAAACACTATCCAGAATTCAATTCTGCTATAGGCGAAATTCAACCAATGGTAGACAGCTCTGGTACAGTAAAAGGTTTGAAGAAAGTATTGGAAGAGCGGGGGCTGTGGAGAAGAGGGCTCTATCTACAATGCAGAAAGCCAGGAACTGACAAACTACTCAAAACCTGTCTACTTAGTAGAGAATGATGTGCCGGTGCAGTTATGGCAAATCAGCCAGAGTTTAAAAGTCAGAAATGCCGTTTCCAGGAAGAGATTGAGGCAGCAGGCCACCATGTCCTGTTTTATCCAAAGTTCTACTGCGAAATTAACTTTATTGAGTATGTATGGAGTGCTGCCAAGTACTATACTTGAAATAACTGCTGATATTCCATCAAGAGTTTACGACCTACCATTCCAAAGGCCTTAAATTCCGTTTCAGATTAACATATATGGAAATATGGCAAACAAGCAGAGCGAATTATGGATTCTTATCATCAAGGAATATCATATGGAACTCCTCAATTTGAAGCATCTATTAAGCATAAATACAAAAGCCATCGGCGGGTTTCTGATATACAAGTACTAGAGTAATATAGAATATGGCATCATGTATAATATTATACATCTTTCTTTACTCTACTTTGTACATATCATAAGTATTATTTTCTTACATAATTGTATTTCCAATATGG